ACCAAAGAGGAAAGTAGTGAGAGTAACTGAAGAACTTAAAAAGGAAATTATAGTGAGACTTGAAGGTGATGCACGTGTGTCTGCTCTCGCTTCGGAATGTAGGATTGTCATTTATTTCATGGTTATTTCTTTGGTATGTGTGCTTTTTCGTGTTCGTATTAGTGTCATATTGATTGCTAATGCCTTTTATCATTAGGTAGGTAGGTAGATAAGTTTAAACAAGCAATCATTTGAGGGTCTGGAACGGATTACATTCATTTACATTATTTCTTATGGGAAAATTCGAGTTGGACCTCGACCAAATCGCAACTTGAACATCCTTATGGAACGAATTAAGTTCGTGTTGCAAGGTACCACTGTATAGTACTTTTTACTTAAGCTCTTTTAAAACCAGGTATTTTATATTATTGGATGACTTACTTAAGTAACATTATTGGTGTGGTAAATGTACTTAGGAGTATGACAGTTGAGTACTTTTTCCACCCCCGCATTTGTTGCCAGTTAACTATTACTAATTAATTGGCAATAACTACCAACTATTTACACACCCATCTGGTAGTTAAGAGCTGATGCTTAACTTGCACCACTAGGTTATTATAAAATGAAATAATTTTTCCTGTTTACATATAATTAGTTATATACCTCCAGTTGCCTGGTTTAAAGCAGCAACTGTGAGCAGCACACAGCTGTAGTAAAACAGTGGTTAATGCTCTGTGGGAATAGTTCCTGAATGAGGTCACCGAGCCACCGCTGTGTTCAGGGTTAGTCCACGTTTCTGGTTTCCGTTGCTCTTTGTCTGGCCAACGTGTTGTCCTGTCACGTGCATTTTCAGAGTGTAATTTGGTAGCTGTGATGGCATGCTGCATTCATCAGGATGGGTCATGTGTCAGTACTGCCTGGTCATGTGACCATGGTGCTTGGCATGGGCACCACTGTGTTCTCCCTAGGATTTAATCTCATCAGTTTTAGTGGTTTTCAGGTCTTGCAGGCATTCCTGAGAGATTTCATTATTTTCTGATTTAACATGTCAGAAGTAATAGTTACCCAAATATCTTTAAACATCTCATCAGACTGCAATTAATCATTTGCACTGGATTTTATGTCATTTATAATTTAATGTGTGCTTACATTGTATACCTAATGGTAGATGCTGATATGCATGTATCAGTGCTGTGCCTTCTGGTTATGGTTTAAAATAAGGAACTCTTAAGGGACTCATTTTTTAAATATTCTTTTACATTTAATGTTAGGTTGTCAACAGTGAGACTCTCTGTGTCAGTCTTTAATGTGTAACTTCACAGGTATGTTGTTAATGTCACACCTCTGTGCTTGTGATATTTAATAAGCTTTCTGTGTGACACTGTAGGGGTCCAGGGACAATCACTCAGCGGGTCCAGGGACAATCCCCTCCGTGTCAGTCAGCGGGTCCAGGGACAGTCCCCCTACAGCCCAGGGGGTCACACACCTGACTCCAATGGAGCTACATCTAGGACATGTTTGCTCTGCTAAGAGCAACTAATTAAATTTAATGTTTAATTCAAACCTTACACTGGGCTTTTACTGCTCCATGGATTTTGGAATCGCCTAAATGTGGCCTTTGTATTGTGGAGAAAAGGACCCCTATTTCACTCAGAAAGTTAAGACCTCTGTGTCTCCGCTTAAGAAAAGAAAAGCCTGTTAACCACCTCTCCGGCCCCCGCCCCCCGCCCCCCCACTATACATAAATGCTACCATCAGCTCTTCAGATACTACAGTTTTCTTCCCTCTTGTCAAGTTTTGGGGTTTCTCAGAGACGGAGAGCTACACCGCTGCATCGCTCTCCTCAGGTACTTCAGAGATTTTTTGGGAAGCCGATCTCGGACAGAAATGCTGTCCATCCTTGTATTTTTTATTACTATTTTTCCTTTGTTAAAGGGTAAAAGAATTTCTTGAGTCTTCGTGATGACAGCATGGCCCTGGATTCCCTGAACGCCTGTCTTGTCTGTACTTTAACAATCACGTACAAACATCTTTTGAAACCAAAATTGCATTAGTGTTTTATAAGGCACAAGTTAAACACATTCTAATCTGGACAGAACACTTTATGATTTCCTTTTTTTTTTTTTTTTTTTTTTTTAACTCTGCTGCTTGGAGTGGGGGTGTGCAAGTTTGTGTTCTGTGTGTGTGTTGAGTGTGTGTTTTTGAGGTTAAGTTTTCAAGCTGCCATCTTCTATTTCCATGACAGTTCACCCCTCTCTTCAGTGCTTGGGATATTTAAACATCTGCAGGAACATCTGGGCTCGTGTTGAAGTATCAATTCGAGTCAGTTGGCTCTGGGGCGCGAAGCTTCTGGAACGTTCTGCCAGCTAACAAAAGGGCTGACATGTAGAAATGAAAAACATTATAGGCACATGGAGGATAAATTGGGGACAGAGTGTTTCCCTCTTTGCCCTTAAGTGAGTCCCTCTTCTCCCTCTCATGCAGCCCGGAGGAGGGGTTCTCAAGCGGAGCGAGATTGCCGTCTCTATGGTCGTGTTTTTATTAACGGGGGAGGGCAGAGGTAGCAGTGGAGTCTGAATGGGGTTGTGCTCTGCTAGCTGCTTGTCCGGAGTCGCAGCCTGGTGCAATGGGAGGTTCCCGTAACAGTAGCTTTAAAACAGATCTTAGGGAA